GACACTTTTTCACTGCACTACAAAAACTCGAAATCATCAAGTATGTGTGTCTGATATCTAGTCAGAATATGTCTCTACACCTGATATAAGACCTAGTAACTTCAGAAGTAACACTGCAGTGAGATATGGGGTGTTATTTTTAGACAATGCATCATCTTGTTATGTCAAAAAATCTTATTTTGAGTTGTATCTGGGATTAAACACATATTTCTTTACATATTTATTAGAGAATCAGCACCTAACATCAGAAAACAGAACACTTCTGAGCATTTCCTGATTCTGGTCAAATATAGTTCAAAATGTGTTCTCCCAATTACAAGATCTGAATTATCTAAATATCCCTTCTTATTTCAAGAAATCTCACCAAGCAGATTTTCACTTGGCAGATGTTTGAACTTATTTCAGGTGAAAACAGCTTGTTTTCATTATTGTTTAACTTGTTTTTGGAGCTGCGTGCTATGCCTTGCTGTCAGACAGCCCTTTATGACGGCCAGCTGAAGTGTTATTTATTCACTCTTTGAATCCTCCAGAGCCCATTCACAAAAACTGTAACTTTAACTTAGCATAGGGAGGCTGTGGTTCAGTGGGTAGTGGATAGTGTGCTGGACTTTGAATCATAGGAAGTTCGAGTCCCACTGCAGTCAGCATGTCGTTGTGTCCCTGAGACACTCCACCCCAAATCGCTCCTGTGGGGATTGCCCACAGTACTGAATGTATGTAAGCCGCTTTGGATAAAAGTGTCTAACAAGTGACATGTAATGTAACTTCAATTATATTTTTGTGTTATTGTTTGGCTTTTGTGTTTCCAAAGTCAAACATTAGCGAATAAACTAATACATGATCAAATGTACTGATATTTTACTCGTGTACAAAACGTGTCATGGTCCCCCCCTCCGCTCAATTAATTGATTAAACAACATCCAAACTCATGAACCAGAGCTACTACCAGAGGGGAAAGTACCTTGGCGCAGTCAGCTGGCAGCAAACACCTGAAACAGTGAACCCTATGAACTAAGGAACATAACATCTATCAACTCTTTTATCCAAACATGTCAAACGGTGATTACTGGACTATCAAACTGGATTCTTATCATTATTTTTCACATTTTCCGTGCCTATTAGCTCTTATCTGTGCCTTTGTATGTGCTTTTGTGTCTGTTTCATGTTAATGGTTTGCATATAAGGCTCTTAATTGGGAAAAAGGGCTTTAATATGTGCTGCATATGTTCTCTTAGATGTTGTCCTTTGATACCATCGACCTGCCAGATGAGCCTCTATGGCTGAATCTGGCCCATTTACGTGATGGACTCAATGTTGATTAATGTGCATTATCCTTTCTTACAGAAACACATAAATGGAGGCAGCGGTAGGCCAGCAACCTCTGATTTCTGAGAGGTGAAATGACTGTTTTTGTCAAAGGTTTTTTTGAAGAGAGCATGGTTAAAGGCACTTGAACGGATATCTAGTTTGGCTGCCCCATCCTCTGCTTACTGCAGTACACTGCTTTGTTTCCTTTCTGTTTCTCTAAAGCAGCATAAAGGTAACTTTGGAGAAGGACCTCAAACAACCCCAACTTCAAACAACCAAACCTTCCCTTAAATGTTCAAACAGATCCCTTTATACTTTAGTCGATTTTACAGCAGAACAGAAAGATGTTCAAAGGTAAAACTCTGATTGATCAATCTCGTTTAAAAAGCAAAAGTAAAACGTAATATATAAAACAAGAGGAACAACGTTGTTAATTGTTGTTTATATATAAGAATAATATACATGATATCAGCAAAGTATTGGGTGCGCTTGAGTTTTATTGATTTGCAACCGGTCACTTTCCAGTCAGTACTCAACCTTATAATTAATAAGATTCCAACATTTGGAGGTTAAAATGTCTTGTCCAGTGTTTGGTTACTCTTTGCTCGACATGACACTTTCCCACTTTACAGAAGTCTGCAAACCAATGGGTCACATCAAAGTGAAAAACGCCATTTTAATATAAAATATAGCTACAGGTTGCATACTTTAAAGTTTCAAACTGTTAAATGATGAATATGTGTCTCAGATCGCTTCTTTTGAATTGTCCTAAATGTCTGTAGAGTTTAAAGAAAGTATTTCCTGCGACAAAGTGCAGCTACATTACAATTAACATATACAATGTTCATTTGCACAGCATGTGTTCATATCTTAACCCCTCATATTCATATTTCAAACTCTTGGAAACAACTAATGTAAGTTTTAAAACTCCGACATCAACTATAATTGCATCTAAATCCCCTCATTAGTTCTGTTGCATCATGTGTGTTTTGATTATCAGTTCAAATAGTGTTTGAACCACAAACTCTCCACTTGTGGCTCTTGTTGAGGCAACATAATATACTGAAATAATCATCCTGGCCGGGATAAACCAACTGTACAATATTTAATATCGCTGCAGCCCAGCCGGGACTCGGGAGCCGTGACAAATATCCTCCTCTGAAGTTTCATCAAAATCTGATCAGCAGCATCCCAGATATTGCGTGTGACAGACGGAGAGATGGAGCGATGGACGAGTGCCGACCCTCGTCCCTCTGTGGGGGGCAACAGTGGTACCAACGGCTAATTAATCAAATTATATGACAGATGGTGTGGAGGAACTATTTCCCCCACAGGACGCTTTCAGATGAGCCACCAGCCTCGTGGTGAAACGGAGCGTCAGCACTCCATCGAAGTCCTTTCATTCTGTCCAATAAAAGAGGGAAGCCTAGGGAGAGAGAAAGAGAGAGAGAGAGAGAGAGAGAGAGACGGGGGGAAAAAGGCCAGCATTAGTGGAGGATTGGAAGAGAGAAAAAGAATGATGGAAAAATATTGCGCTTTCCCTTTGGATGTGATATGATCGCAGCCTGGTTATATTGCTTTGTGGAATATTGCTGGAGCGCAGAATTAGATTCAGTCCTCTTCCTCCCTCCCTGCTTCCATGATAAGGCCTCAGGAAAAGCAGCTTTGGATCGATCCGACGGACACAAATGGGACGGCTGAAACATAAACAGATTACAGACCTTTGAAACGGCTTCATTTCCAGGCAGGGGACACTCCCACACTCCCCCTCTCCTCCCCCCCTTAAAGAGGAGGACGCCCACCCTTAGTGGCCCTCCATCCTCACGAATATTTATCATGACACAAAATGCATTTATTCGACATGTTTGGATTAGAGGCTTGCTCATCCCTTGTGGAAGCTGTGATACATTTGATGTTCATAACCTGAGTCATTTTCAGCGCTCTGTTCCAGGTGGCTTCACTCCGGGAGAGGATTTGAGTTCGAGAGTTTTAGGGAAAGGTTTGAGCAGGAAAGCAGAATCAGTTGATGGAGATTTGATTATAGGGGTTTACTTTGCATACCGTCTAGTGGAGCATGTTTGAACATAATGATCGGTCAACTTCAGGCCGGGGACTGCGGGTGGCAGTATACGTCGTGAAGTGGTTTGCGGCCTGCCAGTAAACCCAAAGCAGAAGAAGAAGAAGTGACGTCAGCGGCTTCATTTGCCTAATCCACCCCCAGGAACTCATTGCGGTGTGAACGCGATCTGCTTTAGTTAATCGGAACTAAAAGAGTTCTGATTAACTGAGTTCTCATGAACTATTGTGGGGAAAGAACTTGGTGTGAACGCCCCTAATGTTTAAAACTGTCTCATTGATCCCATAAAAGGCGTTATGGGATGTTTTATCATGGAAACGTGTTTGTTTTGCAGCAAATTGAAGCAGACTGTGTTGGGTTAAAGTGTGCCACCTGACCCTTATCGCACGCAGGGTTTGTTTTGGCCGTCCATTCAACCGCATCAATAAGACACAAAGTAAAGTGCAAAGGAACCAAAGGGGGAAGAATGCACCTCAAAGTGGAACCTACCCGAGCTATTAGTGTCTCTGTTCTCCTGAGCCGTCTCTAGGTATTAAAATGAGGTTATTATACAGTTACAATTCACGAAGATCAGCACTAATAGCCACACATAGTAACAGTGGAATTGGAGAGTTAGCACTAACAGAAGCGTACAGACTGGGATATTGAATCTCAAAAGGCCCGAGTGTGCATTTTAGGGTTTTCCATTTCCTGTAGAGTGTTATATATGTTTTAGTGCGTGTACATGACATGTTACTTGTTAGACACTTTTATCCAAAGCGACCTACATGCTCAATACTGTGGACAATCCCCACAGGAGCCATTTGGGGTGAAGTGTCTCAGGGACACAACGACATGCTGACTGCAGTGGGGTTTGAACCTGCGCTCCCTTGATCCAAACACCAACGCTCCATCCACTGAGGCCACACGCTCCCTTTGGTCCTGCTAAGGCTCAACCCTTTCTCTCCCACACACTAGCTTCCATTGGGACTCTTCCAGAACATAGTGAAACAAAATGAAACAGACTTGCTCCTCTAGACAGGCTTACGCTCAAACACATCGTTAACCTGATGGTTTAAAGGGCGGGGACATCTCTAAGCCGGTTTGACCATCCCAACAGAGCCGGCCAAGCTAAACCAATCAGAACAGATCTCGGGCTCTGTTCAGAAGAGGGTGAAAAGAGTGCAGGGCAGCACAGGGCAGTATGAGAACAAATGAAAGAGCTTTTAGAACATTAAAGCATGGAGATTCATGTTACAGTAGAGGCTCATGGGTTAATAGCAACTCAGTCAGCAAAGCAGAAAACAAATTGCACTGTTATGTCTTCTTAAAACGGACTAACGGTGGGAACAGTTGGTGTAGTGAGGTGGCAGCTGGAGTTAAATTGGCCACAATCCATTCTTCCGTGAAGATTTAACTCATGTGTGATCCGTGGTATCCTGGTTCAGATTCCTTCCAGAAGACTTTTTAGCAGGCACCTTAAATCCACACTCCTCCAACAAATAAGAAGGACAGACGTCAATCGACTCACACCTTGCAGAATAAAAAAATATCAATCCACGTGCAAAGCTTCAGCGTATCCTTTATTCCCAGCTGTTTT